GTCATCGCATAGGAAATTGAAACATTTGTTTGGTACATTGATTCATGGCAAACCAGGTTGTGGAGAAAGGATCTGATCCTCGTAGCTTGATCACAACCCTTGATTGGAAGAACTTCATCGATTCTCAATGGTAAAGTACACCTTTAGAACTGAATCATTTGTTACAAACATACCATACCAACACTAGCTGAATTACATGCATATCATTTCTTCTTCAACTTTTTTATGATGTTGCTATATTATTTATGGCTTGTTTGTATCTACTTTTGTATAAAACTTTACCAAATGGGTTTCCATGCTTTTTTGTTTTAGTCTACTGTTTCTCACATAAGGAAAAACACTGTTACTGTTTTTTGTCTTTTTTTAGAACACGTTTGTGTAAACAAACTTATTATACGGTGAGTTTTCAAGCAATGGTTTCTGATGCAAAATCACCACCATTTATGTGAAAGTTTTTGATGATTATGTTGTGGTAAACAGGAAGGACGCAAATTATAAACGAAGAGCCATTGCAAGCCTTATACAGGCAGTGTACTTGCTTGAGCTCGATAGACAAGAGAACCGAACACAAGAGAATTCTCTAGCTCCAGAATTTTGGATTGCCTTCAAGTATAAGCCTACACAAATATTGACTGATGAAAGAGATGGATCCATTTTTGGTGCAATATTTGAATGGGATCGGTTTGCGGCATTGTCTGAGTTCAAGCCATTTAAACCAATCGGTGCCCCGAGAGCTGTTTTAGCACTTAGAGGAACATTGATAAGATGGCCTACAATGCGAAGAGATTTTGAAGATGATTTCCGTTTTGTTGCTTGGGAAAGCTTGAAGGACTCTGTGAGGTTTAAAGTAGCTACAGATGCGGTGAAATCGGTTTCTGATACATATGGAAGCAGAAATGTATGCATTGCAGGGCATTCTTTAGGCGCTGGATTAGGTCTTCAGGTGGGAAAGGAATTGGCAAAGGAAAGAATTAATGTCGAAACACATGTATTTAATCCTCCAGCGGTATCACTAGCTATGAGTCTTGGACATATTGGAGAAAAGGCCGAGTATGTTTTGAATAGAATCAAGTATATGCTTCCATCAGGTACCGAGGCTCAAGTCAGCAACAACGTGGATGACACTTACATTATACGATGGAGGAAGAAGATGATACATCGGTTATCGTGCTTTATGGATGCTGGTTTAGGAACAAGAAAATGGGCTCCTCATATTTATGTTAACAAGAATGATTGGATCAGTTACTTTTATATTCATACCCATGGAACAAAAGAGATGGATCCTACATTTGAGCAGAATGAAGCCAAGTTGTTTGTTGTCTCAATGGAAGACCAGAAGTTTCTTGAGGCTCATGGCCTGAAACAATGGTGGTCAAATGACGGTAATCACAATAACAAACTCGTTATCGCGGAAGTTAAATCTTTGAACACCGGTACACCTTTTCAGGTAGTATTTTTCTATTATCCACGATATGTTTCATTAGTCACTAGTTGCATAAATATTAGAGAAGCTACAGATTATGTTTGTAGTATACTTAAATGCATGCCTCGTCATATAAGTGGTAAAGCTCAAACCAACAATGATGGAGAAGTGAGTTCAGGTATAGGTTTGGTGGGTTGGATACCCTCATTATCTGGCTTGAAGGATACCGGTTATTGGGTGTGCAAATGGATTCCTCGCATGTATGTTTACAGTAATGGTGGCACCGAAGAGAAGATGGTTGGAAAGGATAATATAGATCCTGAAGACGGTCAAATTACTCCGAAATTACTTATTTTCTCCAAGGAACAACTGACATTTCTTGCATCTCATGGCCTAGAACAGTGGTGGCCAAATGCTGTAGAACTTCAGAAAACTATCTGTGATGGAAAACTCATAAGCAGGAAAGTGAAATCTCTATACACGGCCGGCACACCTTGGGAAGTAACAAAAGGATCAAATCTCTCTTTTATTTCACTTGCCATGTATGTTGGAGAAAAGGAAGAGTTCATATTGAAATGTAATAGGCTTAAATCCATGTTTCCGTCAAGTAATGATGCTCAAGTGTGCAGTGACGAGGGTAAGATTTCCGGTATTGGTTTGAAGGGTTGGATACCTCAATTATCTTGTTTGAAGGATGCTGCTTATTGGGTGTGGAAACGTGTTCCTCATCGGTATGCTAACAAGAACTGTGGCACTGAGGAGAAGGAGGTTGACAAGAAGGAGAATGTGGATTGTTCAAATGCGAAAATAATTTCAAAGTCATCTATGAAATTTCTTGCAACTCATGGCTTGGAACAATGGTGGCCAAATGATGCAGAACTTTGGAAAATCATCTATGATGGAAAACTCGTAAGCAAGAAAATTAAATCTCTATACACCAATACACCTTGGGAAGTAACAAAAGGATCAAATCTCTCTTTTCTTTCACTTGTCATGTGTGTTAGAGAAAAAGAAGAATTCATAATGAAATTTAATAGTCTGAAATCCATGATTCCTTCAAGTAGCGAAGCTCAAGTGTGCAACAACGAAGGCAAGATTTCAGATGTTGGTTTGAGGGGTTGGATACCTCAATTATCTTGCTTGAAGGATGCTGCTTATTGGGTGTGGAAATGCGTTCCTCATCAGTATGTTAACAAGAACTGTGACATTAAGGAGAAGGAGAATGTGGTTTGTGCAAATGCAAGAATAACTCCAAAGGTGTGTGTTGTTTCCAAAGAACAAATGTTTCTGACAACTCATGGCTTGGAACAATGGTGGCCAAGTGATGCAAATTTTCAGCAAACTCTCCAAGATAGTAACCTCATAAGCAGGAAAATTCGATCTTTATACACCGAAACGTCTTGGGAAGTAACACAAAGATTAAATCCTTTAACTTCACATCCCATTTGTTTCGGTAATATTGGAGAAAAAGAAGAATTTGCATGGAAATGGAATATTGTTAAATCTGCAATTCTTTCAAATAGTGAAACTCAGGCGAGCAATGATTACAATAACAATACACCATATGTACCATTGAAGAGTTGGATGCCTCCATTATTAAGCTTCAAGGATGCTAGTTTTGCTGTGGTAAAAAAGGCTTCTCCTATGTTGAATCTGTCTTTTGTTTCACCGGTCACGAGTCATGGAAATAATGAAGAAAAGGACAATTTTGTTTCGAGTAGTGAAACTCAAGTGAGCAATGATTCAAACAAGACTTCATGTGAAGGCTTGAAGAATTGGATACCTTCATTATCTGGCATGAAAGATGCTGCTTTAGGGATAGGAAAATTGGTTCCGTATCTGTATGCTAACAAGAGTGATGTTGGCATAGGAGAGAAGATGGTTGACAAGGAAAACAAGGGTCCTTTGCAATAACAGTGTCAAGTGATGAACTCTTCATCTGAATAGAAGAGAAAATTGTGATGTTAGATACTAAGTGATTAGGCCAAAAAGCTTCTCTAAGTTGGTGGCAGGTCTCTACATGTCATTTTGTCATTTATTTGATTTTATGGGCTTAAACTGTCCTTCTGGAGTACAAACCCATACACAATTGAGATCAAGTTATGTACGTAAGAGCTTTATAAACATCTATAATATTGTTCGATGTGGGGCTTCTTGACCTGGTTTGCTCTTGTTCTTTGTTGAGTGGAGCCATTCTTGATTCTTCAATTTCATTAAAAAATAATATGGGAATGAAGATAGTAACCCTCTTTTTCAAGCTGAATTCATGTATGCATTCATTTAATGATATAACATTGATGAAGACCTGTCACAATATTCTATTATATTGTTTGATGGAGTCCATAAGTAAACAATTTACAAACTGAATGCAAAAGTGAAAATTGAATATGACATGCCTCAAATTGTTAGTACAAGTTGGAGGAGCTGAATGCAAACCTCAAATCTAAAAAACATTACATGTGGCCACTTAACCATTGAGGGATTATGATGCATGCAAGAAAATAAACCTAAACAGAACATACCTAAGTAAGATAGCTTCATTAAATTAAATACACCAAAAATACCTTTTTCTTCTTTCTTTCTATCACTAACTGTCAGTTGGGATTTTCGACAAGGTCTAAAATCCAACCAAAAGAAAAGAATCTAAGAATATTCTTTAAAAAGATGAAATTATCTAAGTCGATTACAGCTGCAGTCGAACAGAAGAGACCCCTTAAGTAGTTAATTGGGTCTGAAAATGTCAAAAAGTTCAGAGAGTCCAGACCAAGCGAGCGAAACGTTTTGGAGGGAAAAGTGAGTTTGAGTGGAGAATGTGGGTTTATAGAGAGAAGTTGCAAAAATACATGTGGCGTACAAAGAAACGAAGCTTGCCGAAAAGCAGTTATTATATGTGTATTATAAATAAAGCACTTAGTGCATAATATTAGAGGTTCAAACTTCCATATTCCTATACGCTAGTTGTGATACGGTGGGAGAACTGACTTGGGTTTTGCGTTTGTTTTCGCAAATGTTTCGGTTGAGCAAGAGTCGCCACCGACTTTTTATTTTATCCTAAGGAAAGGTTTAAAAAGCACAGCAAAAACCTTCGAGATGTTTTCTTGGGTTCGGGGAGTAGATTATAGAAAGGGAAGGTATTAGCACCCTTTCTATCCATGGTTATCCATGGGCTCTTAGTTACTTGCTTAGATCACTTGCCTTTTATTTTCAATTGTTTGAAATGGTGCTCTTGTGTGTGTGTGTTTGAAAATGTTTTGAAAAGAAGCCAATGTGGTGGCAACCTTTGTAATGATCCATGTTGGGATGTATACAAAGGTGTATGTCTTTTGAAAAGGTTTTCATTTGTTTTTGAAAGTTTGTTTTGAAAGTGTTGTGAGGTGTGGTTTTAGAAAATAGGCAAATGTTTTGTTTTTGCAAGTTTGATTCAAGTAACTAAGAGGTTATCTACTCCTAAATTTCTCAAAGATTATTGCTATGTTTTAACCCTTTTAACAAGTTTGTTCCACCATTGTATTTGGTGGACAATCTTGTGTTAGGATGTGAAAGGGACGGACGCGGGTCATCGTTTGGACCATAATTGCAATGGTGCCAAGTATCTTTGGGCAATTTTCTTTTAAAGGACTTGATCATTTATTTAGGCAACTTTTTGAAAGCGTCATCGAGGGACTATGATCATTTGATTTGTTTTGTTTTGCCCAAAGAGACCTAACATGCAACATGGCCCATTTATTGAAAGCAACAAGTGGAATACCCTAGGGGGTGCAAGTGTGATTTGTGTTGTCCATTTTCATGCTTGATTATCTTGAAATTAGGTCAAACTATTTTTGTTGTTTTTGATTCGCATACAAACCCTAATTCTAACATGGTATAATTAGAAAGCAATAAAGTGCGAAAAAATAAATTTACTAAGCTATTACAACACAATATATGGGAAGGGGGGTACAAATGCTCAAATGGGGATTTTTGACAAGGAATTTAAACCTAAACTATTACATCAATATTGAATTATTTACAAGATGCTTGATTGCACAAATTAAATAAAACAAGAATAAATATGCAAGATGCAAAAAAAATGTTTTTTATGTGTATGGAAAAAAAGTATTTTTGTACGTCAAATAAACCAAAATAAAAATATTAATTTTTTGGGGTTTTTATGTATTTTAGGATAAAACCCTAATTTCATTAAGTAAATAGTATTATTTATTAATATATACAATATTTATTTATTATATGCAAAAATAAAATAAAAATGAAGTATATTTGTCAAAAAAGATATTTTTTTATATTAAATACTAATAAAAAATAAAAATGTGTATATTTTGTATTTTAACCTAAATATTCTAATATATATATATATATATATATATATATATATATATATATATATATATATATATATATATATATATATATATATATATATATATATATATATATATATATATATATATATATATTATTTTCTAAATATGTATTATATATACAAATAATAATATTTAATATTTATAAAAAAAAAGTATTTTTTATATAAAATATTTTCAGAAGATAAAATAAAATAAAAAATGGAAAATAAAATGTATTTGCACTATTTTTTAATATTTTAAGTAAAAAGTATATCTATTTATTTCTATACAAAAACTAATCTAAACAAATAAATACCTAATAAATATGAAAATGGTGTAAAAAATCTTTTTTATATTTTTAATATTATAAGGAAAAATAAATAAGTCAGAATGAAAAAGAAAAAGTCAAAAAATCATAAAAATAAGCCAAATGGGCCTAGGGGGTGTGAAAACAAAAAGGTGGTGTAAACAGAAATATGAAACAAGGCCCAGCCCAGAAAACCCTTCTTCAACCTCTGGCCAGAAAAATGTCAAAAAACGCGCGCCTTGTTCACTAATTCAAACATCCTGATTCCTGGCTTTTTAATGAAAACTCACATAAAAAATGTTCAGCATCAAACAACGAATCCATACATATCTAAAACTTGATCTAACTCTAAAAAATGAGAGATAATTTCTCCATTCCCAAATCCTGACCTAGTTTTTATGCCATGTTCAGACTTAAAATTCTCTAAGCACACATAATATAAATGAAATCTAATCATATGGGCATGTTCAGGGCTATGAATGTGACATGTTTTCTTCACAAACCTAAAGCTAACAATGCCTGGATAGAGAGATTCGTGTTCATGAACTTACCTGTTCAGTTGAAGTTGTATCTGATGATTGAAGTACTTTCAATGCAAGGTGATGATTGGTACAACTTCCTTGATGTCCAGGGATGCTATTCCAAGCTTTACTTTGTCTTGAAACCTTTTGAATCGTGCTATAGAACTTCAACTGCAAAATAAGAAAATGAAAATCGTGATGTTGCCTGGGAGTGTTACAGGTCGTGTTTGAGGTTTTGATTAACTTCAAGGGATGTTAGGGAATGTGTTTGATGTGTTTTTAGCAAGAAAGCATGGAAGGTTTGAGCTATGGAACTCAAACTGCAGGGATGCCCTGTTTTGAGCAGTTTGAAGGTGATTCTGGGAATGGGGAGGTATTGGGGATCTTAGGGTCGTGCTTCAGCTTAGGATGAATATTTAGAATGTGCTTGATAACTTTTCCTAAGCCTTGGTTAACTGATATGAGAGTTGGTACATGTTATGCTAGGTTTCTTAAACTTTAAGCAAGCAATGGCCAAGTTCAGTTCTAGACAGGTAGAGGCCCCTCTAATGTGCTGCATAACTCAGTCTTGATCAGTGTGATTAACTCATAAACTTGTGCCAAAGAGATTTCAAATGTACTTGCTTGGATTTGCTTTAGACATAAAGTGTAACTTTTGCAAAAATGGATATAATGCTTTTTCCAATTTGGGATTAAACCTTTAGGCAATGCTTGAACACATAGAACATGGTCTTGGCACAAAGGATTGGCATTAAATTTATGAGTGTAATTGAGATAAAAGACCTGTAATCAAGTTGTGCAAGCTGAGATTGAAAATGCATAGTGTTGTGAACATGAAATTGGCCATGAACAAAGTGACTTTTGCCCATATTGCCAAATTCGATTCTCCCTAACCACAAGGGTGTTTGAGAAGTTCTTGGACATTTTGGAAAGCTTGTAATGTGTACTACAATCCATCTTTGAAATGCAAATTGAAATTCCAAGTGGAAGTGTATGAAAAATGGTGTTGAAGTTAGGTAAAAACCTTGCCTAAAATAGGTCAAATTTTCTCTAAGTTAAGAATGGTTTGGTACCCTTGTTCCAAAAATTGTAACTTGAGCTACAAGCTTCTTTTGGGAAAAATTTGTGAATCAAAGTTGTAGATTATGCAATAGGCTACAACTTTCATGTTTTGACTTTTGCTTGAATCCAAATGAATCTTGGTGAGAAAGTGGGGCAAAGTTAGGAAAAAATTAGGGTTTTTCATAACTTAGAAAAATTCTAAGTTATGAAAAATCTTCATTTCAAACCCTAATTTGCATTTCTTGATTTCTTGATGAACAAGTTTCACGATTTGGCATGTTTTGATGAAAAATGAATCTTGACCCTTGATTTTGACCAAAAAGTCAAAGTTTGACTTTTCAGTATACAGTCAAAATTGATCAATTGACTGGGAAATTCAACTGTCAATCTTGTGTATTTGGGATCTTTTGTGCAGTCAAAACCCTAAAAATGACCATTTTGCCCTTTTGATGATCTGATCAAATTTCTTGTGGAATTGTGATCCAAACTTGATCAAATGGTCCATGTGAGTTTATAATGTTGATGTGGGTCAATTTTCATGAGATTTGACTGTCAATTGGCCACAGTTGACTTTTTCCCCAATACAGTTGATTTCTAGGTCAACTGTCCAATTGACTGGGCAAAATTTGGAATCAAGACTTGAAACTTGGCATGGATAAACTGGGGAGTCTAACATGAAGCATG